TTTTTTTCGCCCCCAGCCAGGCCGGCTAGCTCTGCTAGACATCAAGAAGGGAAAAAAAAAAAAAAAACCCACATCTAAGATGCAAGCGAAAATCCAAGGCAGCGCAGGTGGCGTCGAGCCGAGCAAGGATGGGAGCAGAAGGAAGCGTCGCTTGGCACAGCCCGCGAAACCACTGAGCAGAAGTCCAGCAAGCGCCAGTGCCCGCGTCCACCAGCCGTGGCCCGGGGACAGCCCCTGGCCCCCGCGTTGCCGCCCCGGGAAACCCAGCAAGCCTCAGCCACCACAAACCTGGGCTCTCCCAGCTCGGGGTCACCCCATAAACTTCCGAGAGCTCAACATGGTGGTAAGGAAAAGAAAAAAATCAAACCCAAGAAACACATAAAAACACATTAAAAACAATGCTTTCAGCCCACAAGCTTGGTTTTCTTTTTGCTCTCCTTCCCAGCACAGCGGGCGTTACGGGACTGGCTTTGAGCTGGTACAGAAATAGCACCATACGGATGAGCAGCGGACCAGAGCTGGCTTTCACATGGCTCAGTCGTTGCATGACGCTAGCTTGGCGAGTCGGTTCGCGGCTCGCTCTCAGGCTGGCACGACTACGCCGTGGCGAGCTCTTGGGAAACCCCAGCCCCAGCGGTGGGGAGCCATGGGCAGAGCGGGAAGCCGGGACACACGGAGCCTCCCCACCGACCTCCAAGTTTCCTTTAGCCCTGGAGAACGGCTTAGCGTCGGCAACCAACACAACAGGCCAGGGAAAGCGGCCTCCTGCTTCTGGCTTCTCGGGTGGGATTTGGAAGCATTGCACCAAATCCCCTGTGGGGCAAACGGGGACAGGCCCTCGGACGTAGCAGACCAGTACCAATTTACACCCAGGGAGGAGACTCCAACTCATCACGAGTGCTGGGATGGGGGCTAGGAGTGTCCTCCTTTACCCCAATCTTAAAGACGTCAAGTTGAGCCTCCATTAGAAGGCAACGCTTGCCAGAGGACACAGCTTGCCATCTTCCCTGAGGCAGCTACGCTGTTCCGGAGCTTTGAAGTCTCCCACTTTTTCAGCTTCGGGTGTCTCTGACTGGGGACGTACATCCAAAAAACCAAAAATTCATCAGGTCCTCAACCGTAGTTGCATGTTCTGGAGAGGAAGCAGGGTGGCACAGGGATCTTTCAGGTGCCTTTTTTAAAAGGCATGATGTGCGATGTACTGAAAGACGCCACTGGGCAGTTAAGATTCCCTGTTGAAGGGTTAGGCCCTTTTCCTCCTCTCCAGGTGTGCAAAACTTCAGGGTAATATTAAAACACCACCTCAGGAGACCGGGGCAGTTACTAAGGGATGGCTATGAGGAAAGCAAGGCAACAGCCTTGCTGCCTTTTAGAAAGAAGCCCTCTGATTTTGCCGTGTGGCCCCGAAGTGGGCTCACGGCAGCTCAGCAGTGACGTCTTGTTCCAGAAATGTCAAGTTTATTTGCTTTTGCTCTTAAACTGCCTTCTGTGTCCAGCCCAAACAAGCCAGCAGGCTGGTTCAGGACAGGGACGGGCTGTCTTAGCCCATCTCCTGCACTGCGACCCCTTGCGCTACCCTCGCCTGCTGCCCTGACCCTGCAGCACGGGGCTCCCAGCTCTCATCCCGCGCCAGCGGCAGCCTGGGGAGCTACGCGAACCGAGCCGCTCGTGATCGGTGCGACAGGCATTCCCTTTTGGTTGCTGCTTTATTTGCATTGCTCTTTTCTCCGCTCAAGAGCCAGCTGTGGCCAAGGGAATACCTGGCCCAGAGCAAAGCTGAGGAACGCCTCCAGCTCCTCGCTATTTTGCTTTCAGCCAAGCAACGCTCTTTTCTTCACCAACCCCAAGTGCACGCTTTGCACTACGCAGCCGGAAGGGAATGACAATTAGGCCTCTCAGGACTGCAAACACAGCCAGGCTTCAGCTCGAGCAGACCTCCAGAAGGGAGCTGCAGACTGCAGCCCCTTCTGATGTGCTTTGCAGTAAGGAGGTGGATGGTTTTCTTAAGCAGCGGGGGGGGGGGGGGGAAAGCACAGTCCACCAGCTATCCATCCCACTGAGCCAGGCTTCCACTGAACGCGGAGTGCGTTTCAGCATCACTGAGCAGCGCTCTGCAAGTCAACAGAAGGACAGAAGGGGAGGCGACTCTGCTCCCCACCTCGCCACGTTGCTCTGGGTCAGACACCGAAGGACAAGTCCCACAAGGTGATTCTCTTTTCTCGCCCCGTCAAACAAAACGAATGAGTCAGACAAACAAATGGCTTCAAATAAAAACACGGGTAGCACTGGAGGAAAGAGCGACTGACAAACTTCACAGCCCATCTTAGAACATCTAAGAACACCCAAGATGAGCCAGAGTCTTTGACCTGTTGTTCTGCTTGTGTTGTTTCCTTGGCTTAGCCTAGAAAAGCACCGCGAGTTTCAAGAGAAGCTGCAAAAGGAAAAACCTATAGGGAAACCCTGCCGCTCTATCCCCTCCACCTGCCCTTCCGACCACAAGGTACGGACCTCGCAGGGCCAGCTCCAGCTGTAACTTAAAGCTCGGCATGTCTCTCTGCTGTGCTACAAGGCTGCATGCTGCAAAGGAACTGAAATTGGAATATAAATGAATCCTCTGGGACTTGTGCTGGTTTTTTTTTTTTTTAGTTTTTACCTGAAAACAAGGAACATCCTGCCACTCCAGTACAATGCATCATGCTAGGAAGTCTGCACAGATTGGAGTAGGTTACTTGTCTTTCCATATTATGCCCCTTTTGTAGCAGCTTCTGGCTGGCCCATGTGAAAAAACACGCAAACGTAGAAGACTAGTGGTTTTTACTTGCATAGCTGCTGTTAGTTCATGTGGATGGAGACATCCGTTTCTTGCGTACATCGACACAGATGAACTACGAGGCCGTTCAGCCTATCTCCCACCGCTCTGCTGTCCTGGGAGCAACCCGTTTCTTCATTTCCAAGCATCAGCGTGTGACAGGACGTCAGACACAGGTTGCTTGAGATGCTGTCAGGATGGAGGTCTGAAAGGTCCCTCGCAGGTCACACGGGGAATTAGCTCTCCCAGCATCCGTCCAGGTAGCATCATCCCTTCTTTTTGGGATGCTGAAAGCACTGAACGGTTTGTGAGCTCAGCCCTGGGCAGCGGCAGCCACTGCGCCGCCTTTGCCCGCCCTGGAGGGATGTGAGGAGGGGGGATACAAACGCTCGAGTTCTGCCACCCTCTCTAGCACGGCATAGCAGCAGCGGTGCGTTGGAACAACCAGCAGAAGAGATAATGGCTTTGAGATCCTCCTTCCTCCTCCACACCTCATTGCAAGATTTAGAAGAGAAAAAGAAAAAAAAAAAAGGAAAAAGGGGAATTAAAAAAAAAAAAAAAAAAAGAAGAAGAAGAGGCATTGGGTCCTTCGGAGATGTCTGCTCCATCCCAGGGTGACAGCGCTCGAGCCAAGTGGTTGAACCTGATCGGTGTTTAAATCCCACACGGCTCTTCTCTCTCTCTTCCAGCAGCTCTGCTGGATTCCACTCCTTTTCTCCGAGGTCTAATGCTGGAAGCAAAGAAGCGGAGGGACTGGGGAAGGAAGAACAGAGTCCTTTTCACCTCTCTCAAGCAGCCTGGCCAACCTCTTGTTGCTCATGAAGCATGCAGCTTGTAAGGAGAGCAAGGATGCGCACCAAGCCCATCGGGGCACTTCGGACTGCTCTCTCCTTGCAGGCCAACATCCCTTTGCACTGAGCCCGCTCCATGGAGGACAGGGAAAGGAAATAAATATGCTTGTTGAAAGAAAAAAAAAAATTATATTAAGAGCTTTCCCCCCCTTTTAAATAGCATAATTGTTTCCTTTTCTCTCTGACATTGGAAGAGTATCCAGAACCCCAAAGGAACTCCACTTTTTCTTTTTTTTTTTTTTTTTAAAAGGAGGGGGAAAAAAAAAAAAAACCAACCAAAACCAACCAAAAAAACCCCTATCTGCTTTCCTGTCACCAGATTGCCAAACAAGAGCTAAACACTCTTTGGATCTTCTTTCCCAAGCTAGGAGGGCTCCATTTCTGCCGCGCTGGTTTGGTTTCATTTAAGTCAAGTCCACGCTTTCGAAGCCGCCTGCCCGTTTCAGATGACCAAGCAAGCTTTGGGGAGGAATGAGGGGGGAATGAATGACTGCCCGTCTCTCGCCCAGCTCTGCCGACTGGGAGAAGGGCAGAGCTCTGCCTCGGCCATGCCGAGGTGCCTCTCTCTTCTCAGAGCAGTTGGCGCCGTCGGAGATGTACAGCCGTCTGGTCGGGATACAGGTGGAGGGTGTCTGTGTGCGTGCCCAAATTGGATTTTTTTTTTTTTTTGGTAGATATTTTTGTTACTGTTGCTGCTGCTGCTGCTTCTTCGTGTCTAAGTGTCGTCCGGATTTTTGTTTCCTTCGTTCAGACGCTGCACGTTCCGAGAGGGGGAGAGAAAGGTACACCAACCCGATGCCTTTCTGAACATCAGCCCATCTCTTTCCACTGCTTGTAGAACTCCAGAACATTTTTTATTTCTACGCTGGCATGGGCGGCTGCCTGGATGGCAGACTGCAAGCAAGCAGAGACAAAGCAGGTTATTTTTTTCTTGCCCTGTCAAGAGGACTGCCCTTCACAACCTGGAGATCCTCAGGCAGAGTTTGTCATGGCTAAAAAGCCCCGTTCTCCTTCGTGCTAGAAGTTGCTCTGGCACGAGAGGCCCGCACATTCCTTCTCGTACCTCCCCCAGGACACCTCGCACCACAAAAGCACGACAAATCAAGGGGCCTTCAAGGAAACGGGAACCACGACTTGTAAACTACATTTGGGAAATCCAGGACAGCTATTACCCAAGGCAGCAAATATTAAAAAAAAAAAAAAAAAAAAAAAAAATCTCTTGCCAATCAACCAGATTTCAATCTTGCTCGGAAGCAGAAAGGCTCAGCTCAGCCAGCCAACGAGCTACTGACCTGCATGGGTGCCGAGAACATGCTTGGGTCCTCCAGCTGAAAGCCCGTGATGATGGTGACCATTCCTGTGGTGTCGTCCTCTCCGCTTCCTTGGGACACTGTCAGTTGTTTGCAGCTGTCCAGTATTTTATACAGATTCCTGCCAGGCAGACGCAAGAAAAGAGAAACAGAGGGGAAAGTCAGAGGGAAGCCCACTTGTTTGTGCAAAGAGTTTCATTTATGCTCAGGACGACACGCGGAAAGCAGGACTGCTTCTCTGTTGCCTGTTGAGGGCTTTTCCGAGACCCTTCTTAGCACCAAGCGTTCAGCGCTATGCGAGATGGGCAGATGGATGCCCTAACACTCTCTCTAGGGAATTTTAAACTTATATAGAGCACCAAATTAAGCAAGCTGCATGATGGGTCCCAGTGCTAACACCTCTCCCCAAAGCCACCTGCCTGCTGGGAATCAGGCTCAGACATCTCCAGATGCTGTAATCTTACCAGGCATCTAAATCTTGTCTCTTCAATTTATGCCTCTCAAAGCTCTTCCCAACATCTTTCTGGCAACGAATGTACCTAAGGAAAGACCAGAGTCACTGAGCTCACACGGAAACCGTCACACAGGCTGAAGTCAATGCTCTAGAGCAGGTCCACCAGGTGCTGCAGGAGCCTTTTGCTGCTTTTTATCCACCAAAATAACACCCAAAGGAATCCCCTGTGCAGTCCCTTGGGTCACCTCCCCCGTCTCATCGCCATCGCTGTGTGCAGTTCACAATACCACAAGCGTTTCAAAGCTCACCGGCCCGGACACAGGCCTTGACGATGCAGTTTGTCTTCACATAAGCACAGTTTTTTGTCCTTCTGCCCAGCTAACCTGGGCAGTACAGCTCTTCCAGCCCTCCCGGTGCATCAGTAACAGGTACTGCTCAGTTTTATACACCGAAAGAGATGCAACTCCCTCCGTTCCTCAGAAGCAGCTACATTTCATGGCCGAGCAGCAACTACAAGCGCATCTGGAGAACGAGCGGCCAAATCTGTTACTTCACCACCTTCCCTCTCGCCAAGTGCATTCCTGAGGCCTGGCTTTCCCTTGGCCCGCTCCTCGCTCTGCTCCAAGGGATGCACAGGCTGCTCCCACCACTGACATTTTCTTGCACCCCAAAATACAGCCATTCCCAAAGCAAGGGCAAATCGCATCACTCTCCCACTCTCACCTGTTTCCCTTTTTAAATTCTGCCTCCAGATACCGGATGCTGTCCCGAGCACCTGCGTTCTCCTTTTTCAGGAAGTCTAAGCCATCAATCACTAACAGAGGAAAAAAAAAGCAGCAAAAACATCTGGCTTACAGCTATACTTCTGCAAACTAATCCAGATGCGTCAAGAATTCCTCCTCCTGCT